CTAATGATTTTTTAATCACTGATTCGTCAACTAATGATTTTTCAACCACATATTCTATAACAGGTTCTTCATCCTTAATAGGACTCTTATTATTATAGTGTCCATAGACTTTTTCATCAAGATCCTTCCAATAACTTTCATTAGCAACTAATCGTTTCCGAATATGATCATATGTATGTGGAAAGACTCTAAAATCATCTGGAGCACGCATAAAAAACTCACTATAAGGGCATTTAGGATTTTCATGACAAAGACGATATTCACAACAACAGTATTCAGGTGCTGCATAAAAATCATATAATTCTTGTAGTGGTGTACGCATGGATATTCTCAACTCATAAAAAAATAAAAATAAAGACAAAATAATCTAGACTCTAATAATAATTAGAAATAAAAATAAAGCCGTTTCCCCGGCAACGACGCCAAATTTTGACAGGCTAAAGTCGTATCATCTAATCAAAAGTAATTCCTAAATCCTCTAACTAATGTAGATAGGGAAGTAGGGTCGAAACCACAGAGAAACGAGTCTTTCTGTTTCTAATTAATTAATATAATCTAGATTATTAGGTAATCAAAATATTATAATCGAAGGAAACTAAACTACAAAAATTAAGAATAAGGATAAAACAATGAATAAAAGGCCTAGGGCATAGGTTCACCAATAAATAATATTCCAGGGTAAAACATAATAACCAATCATCAATGCATAAATTAATCAGATTATAAAGGGCTTTCGCTACGTATTACAATCACACAATTAATTTACCGATATTAAATCTCATCTCTCGATTCTCGACTTAATCATTTATAAATTAACCTACCTATTGAAACTATACCTAAACATTAGTTCTCATCTGTCGAATCTCGAATCAATATTGTTAAATTTATGCATAAAAGATCTACGCAAATCTAGTCACAAAGCATTAAAATCAATCAATAGGAAATTAATCTAGCATTGACAATTAAAAACAATAAATTACCCCTTCATATTATTTATGGATCCCCACAAACCCTCGAAATAGAACTACCCACACATAATTAAACTAAACTAATCAAAGTAATAAAACAAGACATGATCAAAGGAATATAAATAAATAACTAAGATTAAGAGAAGAGAAATTATTACCAAAGAAATCTGGAATTAAGAATAAAGTTAAGAACAAAGTATTAGAGAAAGAAACTAATCTAAAAGCTAAGTAGAGAGAGAAAATCTAAAAGAGAAGGTAATCAAAAATTATGTACAAAAATCATACTTAAACATCCCTAAAACAAATCCTAAACGAAAACTAATCAGGTCTCTAAAAAAAACACGCGCCCGATCAGGCGATGGGCCGCCCGATCGGGCCCGCCTTTTTCTCTACGTACTTTTCCAAACAACCGTGCCCGATTGAGCCTATGCTCTCCCGATCGGGCACGCGTTTCTTCTTGCTGCATCTTTGTGCGCGCCCGCCCGATCGGGCGCAAGCTTGCTCGATCGGGCCCGGCTTCTTCTTCGAGGCTTGGACTTCAATTGGGCTCGATTCTTCGGCCCAATCCGGATTTCCCCTTCGGGTCTTGAATACTCGATCCATATGCCCCGGTATCACATACCGAGCCCTTAATCACTGGCTCTCACCGGTCCTGGGCTTCAAAAATGGTCGTGTCCTCTTAATGCTCGTAGTTGCTTCGTGAAAAACCCGGAAAACGCTCCAAGTGTGCAATTTCCTATAAAACTCAAGCAAAACTACAAAAACACTAGAAAACACAAATTAGTAATAAAAGTGGCTCTAAAGAGCCAAAAACACTACTAATTATGACCTTGGGACGGGGGTAAAACACTATATAAATTAGACATATCAGACGTCGTAGTTCAATTTGAAGTTGCTCTAAACTTTTTAATGTTATTTCTTGCTCTGACACAATTATGTTCTTTTATTTATTAGATAGAGTAATATTATGAAACAGTAGTTTATTTAGATAGGATATGATGTTGTAAACATTTGGATATTCCTTTAACTATTTTTTTACTTATCAATTTTATAAGTTTAGGATTTCCTAATTAAATGCTTATTACATGTTTTAATGTTAAAAATTTTCTAATATAACTAATTCACAAGAATATGATGCATTTCCATTCTTTCAACATAACGTAGTAAATATTATAATAGAAAAAAAAAATTACCGATTCATTTTAGTATTCATTATATAACAGTTTTACTAAACATTGTCTTTAAAATATTTGGCAACGCTTTTATATTATTACTATCAAATACAACAAGTGAACATATTGTTGCATATCAAAACATAAGGTGATAATTTTAAATTGTCTCCTAAGATGGCAACAATTTTCTTTTATTGCCTTTGTAAAATTGTTGCCTTAGGTATCATATTACCTTGACTTTTAAAATGTTTTCTTTGTACTAAAATGTGTTGCCTTAGGAATAGAAAACGGGGACATAAACTACGCCTCATATGTGTTGCCTTAGGTACAAGGCAACACTTTTTTAATAATAGGCAATGGTTTTTCATTGTTACTTTGCTTTTTTATAAAACTCCTAATTTGGTGATTCTTGAGTCTAAACTCAAGGATTTTTCAAGAGGAACAATCTTCTGTGAAACGTCAATACCCCCAAAAACTGACCAGAAGTGCCCAAAAATTGGCTTCAAAGATAAACGAGATGATTTGTGTAAAATCGAGGAGAAGAATAGAAGAGAATTGGTGTGAAAGAATGTGAGAGGTATGAAGGGGTATTTATAGGCTAGCTCATGCAAGAATTATGGCAAGAAAATGTGGGAAGAATTATGGGAAGTAGGGTTTATGGGATTACTTGGAGAAGTGAGTAAAAGAATTAAGGAAAGTTTGGATATTAAGGTGATTGTGTATACTTGAATATGGAAGGTATGTATGTCATGAAAAATAATAAGGAAATTAGAATTTCTTGCGGAATAATTAAGAAGTATGATTGGCGAGAAAATATGATGATTAGATATTAAAAATATGGAGAATTAATTAAGGAAAAATAAGAGAATTTGGGAGATAATTAAAAAATATATAATTTACTAATTAAATTCCCCCAAAATAATTCAATACGGCCGAAAATATTTAGCTTATCATAGCTCAAATTTTCGGACTCCTATAAATATATTTAAGAAGAATTTGCTAGGTTTTTAAGGAATAAAATAATTGTGTAATAATATAAAATAATTAATTAACTAAATACCAATTATTCACCAACAAAATAACTAAGAAAAATCAGATTTTTCTACACATAGGAAATAAAAAATTCCTAGCTAATTAATGGGAATTTTCAGACATATTAATTAATGAATTAATATATTTTTGGCTTAAATAAAATAACCGATATAATATAAATAATCCAATTTTTAAATAGGATAAATGGATAAATAAATCTTATCCAAAATAATTATTAGTTTTCAAAATGCTTTTGGCGCTAAAATTCAAATATTATTTTGGCTCCAAATAATAAATTTACTAAAATACCCTTTTTATAAAATACTTCTTAATTAATTAATTAGAAAATACGTATGAAATACGGGGTATTACAGTATACCCCCTTAAAATAAGTTTTGACCCGAAACTTAGCCAAAAGAAACGAAAATCATTTTGAAATTATTGGTTCATGCACAATCCTAACTTGACTCAAGACTCCAACCAGACTCAAGTAAGACTCCAAATCACTCAAAAATGACTCGAAAAGTAGACGCACAAAACTCTATCGCCCTTTACCCCCCTTAAAAGGAGTTACGCCCCCGTAACTCGACCACTAACTTAAGGCAAACAACTTTGGGTAATGTTTCCTCATATCAGCCTCAGCTTCCCATGTAGCCTCTTTCGTTTTCTGATTTTACCACAACACTTTCACAATGCTCACATCCTTGTTCCTTGTGCTTTTGACCTTAGAGTCAAGAATCTTTACTTGTCTTTCCTTACAAGTCAAATTTTCATCCATCTCAATGGTTTTTGGTTGTAATACATGTGTCACATCAGGGTATTTTGGCTCACATGGAACACATTGTGAAACCTTTCAAGCTCGTTAGACAAATCCAACTTATAAGCCACTTTCCCCACTTTTTAGAAGATCACATAAGGCCCTATTTACTTTTGGCTTAGTTTCCCTTTCTTCCCGAACTTCATCACACCTTTCATGGGTGAAATTTTCAACAAAACTTTCTCTCCTACTTCATATTCCTCTTCCCTCCTTTTCAAATCAACATAACGTTTTTGTCGATCTTAGATTGCTTTAATCTTTTATTAGATAAACTTGACCTGCTTCACCATATCCTCAATCATCTCTGGTCCAAGAACCATAGTCTCACTTATATCATTCCAACAAACTAGGCTTCTACACTTCCGACCATACAAAGCTTCAACCGGTGCCATTCTAATGCTTGCATGGTAACTATTGTTGTAAGAGAACTCTAACAAGTCCAAGTGCTCTTCCCAAGACCCTTGATACTCCATCAGACAAGCTCTTCACACGTCCTCAAATGTCTAAATCGTTCTTCTGTCTGACCATCTGTCGTTGGGTGAAATGTTGTGCTCATCAACAACTTAGATCCCATCGCCTTTTGCAAACTTTGCCAAAAGTTACACAAAATCATGAATCTCTATTCGAAATGATATCCGTGGGTACCTCATGGTACTTCTCCACAAACTTCACGTATGCTCTTCCCAATTGATCCATGGTCCAAGTACTTCTCATGGGTATGAATGCTGCTGACTCCGTCAACCTGTCCACTATTACCCAAATAGTGTCATTCCCTGCCTTAGTCTTTGGAAAAGCTCCCACAAAATCCATAGAAATCGAATCCCATTTCCACTTGGGCACCTCCAAGGATTGGACCTTTCCTTAGGTCCTACGATGCTCAATCTTCACCTTCTGACATGTCAAACACTTAGCCACAAATTCAGCCACTTCTCTCTTCGTATTGGGCCACCAAAAAGTCTTCTTCATGTATTTATACAACTTATCCCTCCAGGATGCATTGAATAAGGAGAATTATTCATGGGCTTCTTCGATCAATATTTGTTTTAGATTTCCACAATTTTGTGGTGCACACCATCTTCCCTTAAATCGAATACTCCCCTCATCACCAATGGTGAAATCCAACACTTCTCCTTCATCAATCTTCTTCTTAATTGCCTTTAACTTCTCATCTTCCAATTGGCTTTCCCTTATCTTATCATAAATGGATGGTTTAACCACCAAGGTATTCAACATCCTAGCCATGTCACCATGCTCTATTACTTCCAAGTTCAACTTCTAAAATTCCACACACAACTGATCCAGTACTACCATCACATTCACCATATGTTCTGACTTTCTGCTCAAAGCATCTGCCACCACATTAGCCTTTCCCTTGTGATACTGAATATCCAATGTATAATCACTCATATATTCTAACCATCGTCTCTGCCTCCCATTAAAGTGCGTCTGGGTGAAAATGTACTTCAAACTCTTATGGTCCGTGAAAATCCTACAAGTCACCCCACACAAGTAATGTCTCAAAATTTTTAAGGCAAACACTATTGCAGCTAACTCCAAATCATGGGTTGGGTAATTCCCTTCGTGAACCTTTAACTGCCTTGAGGCATACGCAATCACTCTTCGATTTTACATCAACTCACATCCCAATCCCAACTTCGATGCATCACTATACACGTCATATAGATCACTCCCATTCGGCAAAGCCAGCACAGGTGTTGTGGTTAACCTTTCTTTCAAGATCTTAAACGCCTCCTCACACTCTTGGGTCCATGCAAACTTATGCTCCTTTTTCATCAAACTTGTCATGGGCTTCGCAATCCTTGTAAATCTTTCACAAACCTTCTGTAATA